TGAGGTGATACAATTTTTGCGCTTGTGATAATTGAGGATGGTTTATGTACACGGCCGTGAACATGTCCCGGAAGGACGGCCATTCTTCATAACCTCCATAAAAAGTTTCTGTGTCACAATCGGGCAACTCGAGGTGATTGCCTGAACTTGCCTTTKGACTGTCTATTTCTGGCAGCTCTACTCCACTGTGGGGAGTAGGTGCAATTGCTTTTATTAGCTTTAATTGATCGGAGATCATAGCTTTCGTTTCTCCATATTGGTCCAAGCAGTTTTCGTAAATATCGTAAGCCGATGATTTAAAATTTTGAGGTAAACCTGAATCGTCAGATTCTACTATGGCGTCATAAGCCGTTTGGAGGCGGGCCCAAAAATTTTTAAGATTTTGGCTTTTTATTTCTAATAACGATTCCGAGTTTTCGTGAATCGGGGAAGAGGCAAATCTAGTGCAGTATCTTGTTAAACTGTCACTTTCAGAAATTTAGAAGCCTGTTTTGAGCGTGTAGCTCCTACAGGAGTATTTTGATTTTTTTTTGTTATTAACCATTTTGGCTACTGACTTGAAAGACGAGTATGTTATATCGTGTTATTATTAGGAAATAATAATATTTATTTATAGATTTTATATCTTTGTTTTAAGTTTGAAAATATCCTTGATTTTATTTATTTATTATTTAGACGATTTAATTTTGTCAAATAAGCACTTTTAGTTTATTAACACTTTTTCCGTCCTTATGTTAGTATTTAGGTACACCCTAATACTTGGACTTGTATGTATGTATGTATGTGCTTCTGAAGGTACTTATGTTTTGTGCAATTGAGAGGCCGCCGCGGAGATCAATGCGCTATTTACACATGCACGAATTGTGTGTGTTTTGTAAGCATGGTTATCTTAAGCAATTGAGAGCTCGTTAGAGAGATCAATTCGCTTTTTGTACGCAATCCTGCTTGTTCTTATTTTCCAAAGAACAAGAGGTATTGCCGGATAATTGCCAATGCGGACTTTGAATATATAAATATGTGTGAAAGTATGTGTATGTGTATGTTAAAAAAAAAAATTTTTTTATGCTAAGCTAAGCTGCGTTTTTGTTTATTTTTTTTGTTAGATTTTAATGTATTATGGATTTGTTTTAATCAAAGATTACCTTTTTAATAATTTTGCAATATAGTATAATTGACCCAATGTACATATGTAGGGTATAGCATAGGCAGATTTGTATTGCCGTATGCTTATAAGTATGTATATATGTATGGCAAGAGAGCGCGAATGAGAAGTGCTCCCATATGCACTTTATGTATGTTTGTCAGTTATAATACAAATTATTTATTATGCACTTTTTTAATGTTTTTGGGATCAACATATGTATGTATGTATAGTATGAAAGTATATAAAATTATGCATAGAAAAGTAAGATAATATGCATATATGTATGTATGTATGTATGTTTGTATGTTTTTTCTCTCTCCTTTTTTTTTTTTTTTGGTTTATGCCTTTGCTTTTCAATCCTGCTTATTGTTTTGTTAAAGATAAGGGGAATTGCCGGTTAACTTAACTAGGCATTCGATAAATATTTTAATTATGTTTATAAATGTTTGTGTATATGTAACCGTATTATATTGATAAACGGATTTGGTGTTAAATACATATGTGCATTTAATAATTAAAATGTGAAATCAATACTCTCACTCTGATTTTCGGGTAATGTACGTATGTTTATGTGTATATGTTGAAGTGCCTGGCCGCTCTAATTTTCTCTATTCCTGTTGCTCACTGCTGCCTACTTATATTCCTTGTGGTGTTGTTGTGTTGTGTGATTTAGTTTTCGCGCCAGATTAGTGTTTTATTTGGTTTCGCGCGCGTTTATTTTGTTGGTATATACTTGGATGTATGTTTTACTGCTAGGTTTCGCGCTCAGTGTTTTCCATATGTATGTATTTTTAGTATGTTTATGTATAGAAATATACTATTTTTTGTTTGTTTCTTATTTTGCCTCTAATACATAATAATGTTGTYTTTTTTTTTTTGTTTTTTGTTCTGCTTGTTCACTGCACTGTTTTGTTTTTGCACTGCACACTTTTATTTGGTTTTATTTCTTTTTTGCTTTTGTTCGTTTCTGCACTCTGTATAACTTCGCCGAACCGAAATTTGTTTTGTTTTTTGTCAATTTACCATTCCTGTAACACTTCGTGAATATATGTACATATATGGGTATTTCTTGTGTGTCACTGCACTATTTTTCTTGTTTTTACTTTATTATAATATGTGGGCATAAGTATATGTTAATTATCATATATTAAAAACTATGCGTTGTTTTTTTTTTTTTTTGGTGTCACTGCTCTTTTTTTGGTTTTTTTTTCAATAATCCATAGTGCCTCTCACTATGGCTCGAAGGACCATGAACAAATGGGGCAAGAAAAGAGTTACTCTTATATTTTTTTTAATATAGCTTAATTTATTAAAGGGGATTAATTTTGACACTTCACACAATAATAATAAAAATCTATAATAAGTATATAAAGGCATTCGCTACATGCSAAGATACGATCGAATAAATGAAGCGTATCCCGATGAAAATTAGACGATGTGTAGGATCCCGGTCGAATTAATGGTTATAAGCCGCATGCAGGATAGATCCGATTTTGTGTATGTAGTTAATTGTAGCGCGCGGGTTGGGTGTAGAAAGAAAACAAAATTGACGTACGAAGTGTCTATGACGAATGTTCACGTGCGAATGGGGATGGCGAAAGTGTCGAACCAACCGAGTCTGCTTTCTCCTTGTCCATCCTTTTTGATGGGTTAGGGTATACGTATGGCGAGTCGTGTTGGTGTCTTCAGCTGTGGTGAATTAAGCTGTCTTATTAAGGTGCGCTAGWTTTCCCGGGTAGAGTGGGTGAATGCTTAACTCATTTAAACAGTAACCCTAAGCATTTYTGATAAACAAGTATTTGGTTACTTGAAATAACTGTCATTCGTAACTTTTATTATACTGTGGAACATTTTTGGGATTATTGGCTGGGGGGTGAGAAGTTCCAAGTCAGGGTGATGGTACTAGGTCAGTATAGTAAAACTCTCAAAGGGTTTGGCGTTCGTATTTGTCAGTTTTTTTTATGACCTTTTAAATTTTTTACTATACTGACCTAGTACCATCACCCTGACTTGGAATTTCTCACCCCCAGATTAGCTGTTGTACTGTGTTATCTGAGAATGCCTTTGATCAAAAATTTAAAACTACAAATCGGCTTAATGTTTTTTAATCTTCTTTTCTCTTACCACTTGTATCGTTTATATCAAAAAAAGAAGTAAAGGGATTTCCTTCGGAAACAAGGCCGTATCGAACTTCACGAGGTCTCCCTTTGTCACCATCTTCGGCATGTACTTGGAGAATCTGTAATAAAATCAACTTTCTTAGAAATTCGCAAAATTATGAAATTTCTTAATTCGTGTAAAGCTCAAAACAAAATATTTTACTAATTATATAATTTTAAATCCGACAACGACAATTGTTCACCTCAATAATTAAACTTGTTMTGGAATCTAAAAGCCTGATAATAGTGAAATGAATTATCGCAGTACGAAAAAAAGCTTGTCACGATAAATATCTCTTAGTGCCAGCACAATATTTGCAAGATTCTCTGTGTTAGAATTTTTATATTCAAACAAGTTAATACAAGTTACGAGTCTACTTCTGTGTTAACCGGTTATCTTAATTATTTTCCTTAGCAATTCACAATTATTAATTTGAAGTTATAAAGGGGCGGATCCGAAATAGTTCTTGAAACATGAATATTATTAAAATAAATATTTTAGTTTCTTTATACAGTTTAATATCATAATGGAAAAACTTCAAATCGACCTTCTAATATCACATCCTACTAAACTGAAAGGACACATTATAAATCGTAGACGTGCGGGTGATATACTATACTTTACTGAAATGTGTAATACTATAGTCAGTTCGTATATTGAATAGAGACATTTCACAAAATAAAACGATTCGACTTCAAGGTCATGATGGGTATGCAGCAACGCCAGACTGATCAATCTATCTTGAAGCACGTTCATTTTCAGCCACGTTTTCACTTTGTGAAGTGTCAAAAAGAGAGATCATAGCTTGCATTCGTCGTAGGAAGTGTGCAGAATATGCGAAGAAAACTATGAATTATGGTTCATAGGCCTACATCGCAGTTCTTCAACGTTTCCAATGCACTAGTCGGTAACCTGTTGTCTTTTGACTCTTTCTTCTGCTCCAATGGAACTGCCACATTTGAGCTTCACACGTCGCACGACGTTGTCATTATTCAAAGGCCACTTTCTATCTAGCAGTCAGTACGATTTTCCACTTCTTGGGTTTTCAAAGCACATACTTTTTCTGAAAGCAGCAAACTCAGTTGAAATCCATTCAATACTTCTCTAGAAAAGTGTAACAAAATCTCCGCTGAGTGTATCCAAAAGAGGAATGTACACTGAGATGCATTTTTCGCAAGTTCCCACGCAGAAATTTTCGCATATTGTTTGTCGGCCGTAGATTCTTGGTGTTTGTTCGTCAAATTTCAGTTCTGTGGTTATTTTGCTTCATGTCTGAAATCGAAAAAGTTACTCAGCTTTTTGTCTTCGATTTGCAAACGGCATATCTATCATTTTCTCTTTGTCAGAATGCTCGATGCACACAATAATTTTAATTGCCAGCTGTTGACTTTTATATGTTCGAAAACTTGTCTCTCATTCCCCTGTTCTGAATCCGCGACTGAGTATCGGAATAAAATTTAACACAAACAATGGTTTTGAGATATGTTATCTCTCGTCTAAAATCTGCCGCAATTGAACCACACCTGTTCAAACTTACAGATGCCGAATATGTGGATCTAGTGTCTATGGCTGAGAAATATTACAGAGGCTCAGAGAGAATATTACCAAATAATATATCGGTCAATTTGWGGAGTTATTTTAATAAAATTCAGATAATAGTGACGAATGGACAAAATGTGCCCGATAATATCAACCTTTACTAGATAAGGCCGATAATGTGTGAAATACTTCCAAACTTAGCTTCTCCTTATTTGTTATTTAAGTTAATAAGAATTTTTGCGATTTAAAATGGCCCGAGTAAAAAACTTTTTTACTTTTTAGTTGAGTTTGCGAGTTTAGAGATTTTATCGAAWGTTAAAACCTGTCAAAACTTTTAGGAAATGGTGTGAAATTTCAGGAAAAAAGAATTACAATTTAAATAAAAAAACTATAAAATATCTTTTTTCACCTGTACGTCGCGTATTATAAAAACATGGAAAACAAGTAAGGAAGGTTAAGTTCGGGTTTATCCGAAAAATTATTCTCTTGAAACTTGCAACTACCAAAACCGATGTTATGATGTTAACAAAGCTTGATATTAATGAGTAGGGATAGGCTAAACTGAACATTTTATAGTCTTGAAAATTGTAGAAATAAAAGCCCGGCAAATTCCTTCAGGTTTCGGCAAAATTTTATAATAAACTATGGAATTTAAGGGTTGAAACGATTGATTTCATCTATTTTTGCCAACTCCACATACTATTAATATGCCATATACTAATAAAATATTTCCTGGGTTTCATTAAAGTACCGCACCTACCACCACCAATCATATGGGGAGAGTCAGCCGGATGTCCGAAAATTTTTATAATATACATATATATGAGAGCTGAGGGAAGTATCGTGTTGTCAGGAAAGAAGTATCACTGAATATCAATTATATTGGGTAGTCAAAAAAGCTTTTCGTATTTTGTACATAGATGTAGTCGTATATCTCCAGAGCTACCAATCACATTGTGTCATTTGATACACCTCTTCAAAAATGGAAAAAATTCGCTATATTTTGAAATTTGTGTATAAGAAAGGGAAGAATGCAACATAAGCCGCCAATGAAATTTGTAATGTTTTCGGAGACGATACTGTATCAGTTCGTGTAGCACAACAATCGCTCGCTCGCTTCATTTCTGGAAACTTCGATTTACACTGATGGAATGAAGTCTTTTGCTTAAAAATTTCAAAAAGTGGTCGACCAAAATGGTACATAGTTTTTATTTTATTTTTTTTATTAGTATAAATATAAAAAAATAAGTTGAAGTTTGATTAGAAATACGAAAAGACTACCCATTACATCTCACACATTGACCGATATTTTCGGTACAAAGTTCGCAATTGAAACTTTGATCCAATTATTCGTCTTCTTTAATTATTTCGCTATTTGGTGAATTTTTAATCAGCAGATGGTATTCCTTAGAGGCACTATTAGGGCAAAGTTTTATCCAATAAATTTATCGGTGCTTAATTTGTATACTGAAAAGTGAATTCAGATGGAATTATAAATTGTGCTATATGGGTAGTAAGAGTAAATTTTCCTGAAATCGGTTGGGCGGTTTCCGTAATATGTTTTTGCTAAAAGTAGCCCATCGTCCAATTTTCACCCCGGGTCCTATAAAGCCCTCTGTTACCAACTCTGGGACTTTTAGTGGTTTTTAACAGTACMGATTTTATCCCATTTTAACTGTGTCGATAGAAATGCTTAATAGATGTGTTCCTAGCGAATTTGGACATTAAACCATTTACAGAGCGGGGCTACTGCCGTTTTTTCAAAATTTTTAACCGACACACACGACTGCGATACCACGTACGTAATTTAGTGTAAGAGAATTATTGATCCGATTCAGAAAGCAACTACAATAGAAATATCATAGCAATATTATGTACGTAATTTGAGTAGAATTTATTCGGTAGATCCCGAGATATGTGTTTCATGTCTTGACATACATAAAGGAAAGTATAAACAATGATTTCAACAAACAGTTGCAATTAAAGATATTAGTTATTGCCCTTTTATAAACCACTAGCAGCCCGTCCCGGCTTCGCACGGGGAAAAAATGTGGTCTATCTGAAATGTATTCTATGGAAAAATCTAAATGTTCAATATCGGTAGCGTCCGCTGCGTAAGGAGCCGACCGCGCGAGTGAGTCTCACGGCTACTTATCTTACAGACGTACACGCCCCACTCCTGTATTTCAGTGCAATGCCCGGCCAGAGAAAGTAAAGTATAGAGAAGGAGCAGGTTCGATGTCGAACATTTGTTAGATTCAAAGTAAGGAATTCGCCGCATTTGTTAACATTGTAGGTCGGAATTCACCACACAATTTTAAAATTTTTTACAATTCTATCACATATTCTAACCGAGAATATGAAGAGAAATAAATATATGTATTTACGGCATAYGATGACATGGCATATATGCCGAAGCAGAGAATATGAAGAGACAGAAATATATGTGTATGCATGCCCATGATTACACAATTGGCGAAGCCCAAATGTAGTAAATTTTACAACAAAAACGATTTCATTCATAAACGCAGGCGCAAATTCTACAAGCGACCTCGCTTCATTCATAAAAACAGACGCCGTAACATCTCCAGGAGCATGCCTTTGCCTATAAGCGTCTTTTCGCGACGATGGCAAAAGTTAAAAATCATAAATTGAACAACTTTCTGATGCTTCTTCACAAAAAGACGCCAGAAAAGTGGCAACAACGGAGTTGTCGATTTATAATATTTGTCCATTCTAAAATATTTTCCCGTGACTCGCAAACATCTGCGTCGATTTGTATGCAAGCTCTTACATATGCATACATATTTCCGCTAGTTTGTAGGCGAAGCTGTTACAGCGGCAAGGGAAGCGGTCAATAGGCGGTCATTCGTTTATTTTTTTCGGCACAGCTTGGATTTTCTTTCACTACACAAGTGCTGAACCAATGAGCGCGACAGATATTAGAATACACACGTTCTTAGGGACACAGGTATTGAGGCAGCTGCACAACTATATAACTGTGTCCCTAAGAACGTGAGTATTTTAATATTTGATGTCGCTTGCAGTCTGTCGTGCTCTATGTGTTCAGCACTTGACTCTTTGACAAAACGCAAGTTTCGGCCATTGGTTGACCGTGACCATTGTATAACCCTACAAGTAACAAAAGAACCAGCTGTTTTCCAAGAATTTTCACAGCTGAGATCACTTGATCGAAATCTGCCTTCTTTAGGCACAGAGATGTAATTAAAAGAAATGCAGTAGATCGACCTTTTTGTGAAAAAGTATTTGTAACGGAAAGCATGAATGAAAACTTTCAAGAATATTTTTGAAACAAAAGTTTGTTGGATATTTTTTGCTCTTCCTCACCACCTCTGACTTTGCGATGTAGGCGCGCTACCGATCTTTTATGGGTGTTCGGTTCCCCAGGAGGCCTATTTTCACCCTTTTTTATATATACAGTTTTAAATCAATCTATTGTACTTATTATAAAAAATATGACTAGACAAAAATAAATATATGAAGTCA